TTATTTTACTTATTAGAATTTCCTCGATATCGCCGATCTATCGCAGTTTTGTCAGTGTTCCCGTTGAAGATGTACATGAATAGTAGTACATCTAAGACTTGTTCTGTTGGCATGGTTTCCGACTTAGAGATCCATCACGTGGCTGTGGCTAAGCTAAAAATCTATAAAAGAAAAAGTTTTTGTGACCGACTACTCTGCCGCATACCTAGTGTCATAATCCTGTGCACGCCGCTGCCGAGTGCAGGTACTTTCCAAAGCAACCGTGCCCGGAAAGCACCTGCGTCAGCCGGAAGGAAAGGGTCCCGTGCTGCCGCCCTGCCCACTCGGTGATGACCGGCTGAAGAGCCACTACGGCGGCGAAGCCAGCGCGTGGAGTCTCCAGCCGGAACGACCATCTGACCATGGTGGCTCAGCGAGCGGCTTCGCGACACTCGCGCACGTCTTCGGGCGGAGGGCGAAATCCGCTCTCCGCCCGGAAGTCAGCCACTCGCCGATAGACTTCGGCGAGCACTTCCGCCTCCAAATCCCACGGGGGTGTTCCGGCCAAGGGGCAAGGCGCCTCGGTGGACACCGTGCGGTATCCGCGTATGGCTCTGACCGCCAATATCCTCTGGGGACGCCAGAGGCGCGAACTATTCTGGGCGCTCAGAGCCGCCACCCACACCGGTGCACCATACAGCGCCATGGACCGAACAACCGCGGGGGTTGTCCGGTCCATACAGACGCCTGTCCATAATACGCCCGACCACCAGGGAAACTCCTGTGGCGGTCAGGCGCGCCACCTCCTGGAAGTTAGCCCCCCGGGCCGTGACTAAAGTGTCATCTGCGTAGCAGAGTACACCCAGCCCAGGGGGGAGGCACCCTCGTAGGGCCCAGTCGTATCCAATGTTCCACAGGAGTGGACAGACCTCTGCGGAACACCGCACGACATGAAACTTGTTGTACCTGCCTTTAGGCTCCAAAAGATAAACAAGTCATTTCGAGGTCAATGTGTTCGATTCTATAATAAAATCCCAAATAGTATGCAAGATTTTAGTATAAACAAATTTAAATCCACAATAAAACGTAAACTATGTCAGAAAGCCTATTATTCAGTTGTGGATTACATAGAAGACTAGAATACTTGGGATTAATATATTAATTTAGCACAGGCTATTTCGTAGCAGAAACGTGATGTGGGCTAGTGTGTCTATTTAATTTTCATTTTTAATGTTTTACTTCAATTTCTTTTTTATGCCATCTTTTTCCTAGTGAGTGCCGTGAGTTTGTTTGCCCTTTAAAGTCTAAGTAGGAGACGATTTCAAATAATTTTATGAAATAAAGATATTTTGAGTTTGAGAATCTAAACTATTTTCGAATCCACTTGAACACATACGATTTTTTTTATTGAATCGGATTATTTATAATCGGATAAAAGTAAGTCATAGTCACTTATATAGCTACAGCCTCGAGGACTTAAAGCTTCAAAGCGACTACCGGCCATGGACAGATGTTTCACCGCGGTCGCATCCTGTCTAACTCTTACTATTTATTAACGCTCTGAAATGGCTAAGGATAAGTAACTTACTTAGATGACTTACTTTTTATTTTACTGTTAACTCTTTGTTCGATGTCTCGTAAATATTGTCGATTTTTCGCAATTATTTACTTTTCAGTGGATACTCCTTCCATTGCTCTTTAATAGTTTACAAATTGATCCATTTGTTATGAACCTTATTTGAAAATATAACAAAAAAGAAACTGAACCGTGTCTATAGGTATTTGAAGTTGAATAAACTGAAAAGTTCTACTTTATAACCAAAAGTACATCGGTTGAGTCAAACAAGCGCGAAAATATGGCATTTGATTTTATATCTATATCTGATACAAGTGTTCCCAGTGAACAATCGTTATCCGAAGCAGGAAATTTGATTAATAGGAAAGGAAATCGCCCGTCTAATAAAAACATTAGATCCTCAATGTGCCTTTCAATTGTGCAATTGTTTTAGCGATACTTAGGTAATATTATAATTTTCTTTAATTTTTCTTAAAATAAATACAATATAAAATAAATGTTGTTTTAATATGATGGCTTACTTACTTACTGAGTCTCAAAAATGGCTTCGGCTCCAAGATAGGGTGTCTCAGTAAGAGTAAACTTTTTCATTTTAAAACAAACTTGTAATGTTTAATACTGAGTAACGTCTAGTTTTTATCTTGTAGTTCATTGCATAGCTATCTTGATATTGTTAGAATGTTCTCGATGTAATAAACGTACGTCAGTCAGATTCTATCCGGTGGACGTGTCCGTTATTACAATTTTATGAAAGAGTAGTGATATTTTATTGGATTGTAAAGAAGACATGTTCAGATTAAGTATGGAATAAAATATCCGGCAAATGGCCGCCACGGCTCTGATGAAAGGCCATTACTCTTCTACTACTTCATGAAATTTGCCATGACTTACACAGATATGTGGCTATATCTCACTGGTGACGCGTTGGATATCTGATTTGAGCTCAGGAATTGTTTTTGATGTATTCGCATAAACCCGAGATTTCACAAAACCCCAATCAAAAAAATCGATCTTGGCGGCATCAGAATTGCATCAGGCATCAGTTGAATTTCGTGAGATAATGTGTTCTGGAAATAGTTTCTGCAATAAGTTGATTGTTTCATGCACGGTGTGGCAGGTGGCGCCGTCCTGCTAAAACCACATGTTGTCCTAATCCATGCCGTCCAGTTGAGGCCACAAGAACTCCGTTATCATATTCATGTAACAAATGCAGTACACGGTCACTGCAATTTCGGCCTCATCTTCAAAAAAGTAAGGCCCAATCACGCCGCCTGACCAAAATCCGCACCAGACAGTTGCTCTTTGTGGGTGCATTTGTTTCTCATTTTGCATGAGGATTTTCTGAGCAACAAATTCGAAAATTTTGTGTATTCACATAGCCATTCAGATGGAAATGCGCTTCATCGGAGAAGATGACTTTTTTTCGAAAAATTGGCATCGACTTCACTTTGCTCCATTACCCATTGAACATATTGCCGGCGATTTCCATGGTCTGCTGGTTTGAGCTCCTGAGTTAGCATGAAGGTGGAGGTCTTTTGTCAAAATGTTAAGAACGATACTGAATTGATGTTTTCGGCAACAGTCTCGTTTACAGCATCAATGTTTTCAAGAGACCGACTGGTACGTTGACGCAAAGGATTCTTAAAATCCGTAATCGAACCAGTTTCTTCAAATGTTTTGACCACTCTTCGAATGGTTGATACATTAGGTGTACTTTCTCGACTGAAAATTTGGCGAAGTTTGCGAGCGGTTTCAGCGTAACTTTCCCCGTTTTTGTAATGAGTTTTCACAATTATAACACTTTGTTCTTTCGAAAAGCGCTCCATTCGTAAAATTCGGAATAAATATAGGTGACAGCTGTCAAATTTCAGAGTTGCCACTTGCACGAAAAAAAGAAATCTAAATTTAAAAATTGCTCTCTTACAGAGACAGCCTTCATTGTTTAAAAAAGACTCCGGTCGCAAAAAAAGCCTGAAGGCTTTTATAAGACTTTTTCAATTGACGAGTCTTTTAAAGCCTTTTTTAATTAGCATCGCTCTAAAAAAGGACGAATAGGCTTAAATTTAGGGCTAAAGGCCTATGGGCCTTGGGAAAACTAATAGAGAGAGTGATCCAATAGGCAGATATTATATTTATATGTATAATATATGCAGGTTACAGTAGAGAAATCCGTGAATTTCAAAGATTTGTGATGTGAAATCGGCCTGTAGTATTATCATAGTATAACTAATTACTCCACACTGAAACCACATTAGTAGTATCTACATTAGACACGTAAGAAGCAGGGCAGATCGCTAGTATAAAATAAACCAATTAAACCCTTCCGAGACAAAAGCGATCCTGGTAGGTCTGTACTAGAATCGCTTTTGTCTCGGAAGGGTTATTGTCCCTATCTTGGATTATAGTGATGTATGCTATTATGAACTGAATGCAGATTTCCTCAATAAATATGACCGCCTTCTGAATAACTGCATTCGATTCGTCTTTAAACTTCGCAAATATGACCATGTTGCCTCCTCTCGTCGCGAATTGAACTTGCTCACGATTCGTCAGCGCCCACAGCTGCACGCCCTCCGTTCCTCAAACAATCCACTTCTGTTATGCCCCACTCATACTTCCGCATATGTCCACTCCTCGTTCCTAATTCAATCTGTCCTCCGCTGGAACGCTCTGCCTTTGGAAAACAGGATAGCACCCAGCCGCCTCTCATTTAGGACGAAAGTCCGAGCTCGAATTCTCGACACTAGCAGATTCATGACATCCCTAAAGTTTTATATAGTGTATATATATGTATGTATGTAACTCAGCAAGTATATATGTATGTGTATCTCAGTATGTATATCTGTCACACTGGTTCTGTTCATATCCATAATTATTATTATCTCGTTACATATAAAACTTAATTTCTAGTGCACCTACTCAGACATTTCCCCACCACCCAAAGGTAGACTGAGAGAAAATGCCTGTGGCAGTAAGTCCGCCATTGTACAATGAATTGTTGTTTGTGCACGAATAATTAAATAAAATAAAATAAAATAAAGCCTCCTCAATTATGGTTGTTGGGTCAATTAAAATTTTGATAATTATAGATGACCTCGAATTTTGTTTAAAATAATATTTTAATAAAAATAATACAATTTTGCTTTTATAAGTCCTAAAAACTTATCACCAACTTATTCGTAGAAATCAAAATTTATAAATATACTCAGTAACATCGTTGACAGTGTACCTACCCACCATCTACCGCAGAGTTTTCTGAATGAGGCACTGTATCTAAATGGCTTACACATATTATACTGTTATTTATTTATTATTTTATTTTACTCTATTTTTTTTTTGTAAACGGGATCACCGTATGGGACAATTACGATTAAAGATGCGGCACAAGCGCGACACATCTTTAAGACAAAACAAAAAAAAACAAAGTATTTCAGCCCATACTTACTTAACAAAGTGTCCTTTTCGAAACAGTAGCGCATCTCTGCTTGTGTTCACTTGTCTGCTGAGCTTCAAGCCATGTAGAACACAAGAGTCCACTACTGAGACGAAACTTCGGTATCCATTGCCTGGTGACTTGGCATCGAAATCGTACTGTGGAGCCACCTGTAACAAATACATGGGTAATAACGTCTTTTTCTAAGAAATAAACATTTGTAGTCTTCTTCACTTGAGGTCAAATTTAACCTATTTGTTATTATTGTTTAAAATTTAAACTTTGAACGCGTATTGTAGGTATGTGACCAAGCTGAATATTTGTTTGAATACATACAAATATTCAGCTTGGTCTAGTAGCTGAAAGACTAAAACTAATTGGTGTCTACTTCTTACCCCTTGACCCGTTATAAGATAAGTTTTGACTATTTATAATTATTGAATAAAATTGAAAAGTACTTAGTTTGAATACATACATAGATTCATCTTGGTCCAGAAAGTGGATAGTGAAACTATTTATTGGCTACTTGTAGTCCCTCGAGTTTGATTGATAGATATACCCGTCACATAATACGTTTTGAGGAGTTCAACAGATTGGTAACGACTAACGACGGTCTGATGACGGAAGTCAAAGTGTTGTAGAAGATTTTGCAATCGCATATTTAACGGAGATATGAGGTAACTGCGGATAGGTTACAGGTGGAGAACAAATAAGTGAGGCTTCCCAATAACAGGGCAACCCCAGTTTGCTGCTCATCTTAGATAATTCAAACTCGTTAAAATTACAATCAGTTACAAACGCGGGATCAAAGATCCAAGAGAGACAGCCCAACTATAAAGAGGGAACCCAACTCCATGCCGTGTTCTTAATTTGTAATTTCAAAGTCTAAGTGTACAACAACAATAATTAGTGAGTTCCATTATTATGTTTATAAGAAACTACCAGTGTAGTGTTACAAATGTGTTAATTAAACAAAGGATATCGTTTAACTTAATCTGGATAAGACTGGCTGTTGCCGGTTTCCCGGCACTGTTTTACTCGCCAATTAGTAGTTTACAACAAAAAAAAAGTTTCATAAATTAGAGTGATATAATTCACAAAACTTAAGTCACGATATTCACATTTCATGGCATTCATTTATTCATAGCATTTTAAAGGTACACGTTTATACAGACTTACGTATTTCAGCAATGTTAAAAATATTTTAAGATCTAGCAGAGATTCTTTATTAAGGCACTGTTACATTGCAAACAATCGAAACCATAATTGAATTTAGTAGTTTCTATAACATTTAGTATTTACATTTAAAGATCTAAGCGTCGTCAGTGTGCTAAGAAATAAATCCTTACCACATTTGTATCTGTTAAAAAATGGCACTAGGATTCAGATGAATGTGTTCTTTCAATCAACTCAGCATAAACTCATTTTACATATCTATAGGTATTGCGTAGGTATTTATACCTACTCAATAGTAAAGTATATAAATACTATAATAGTAAAGTATATGTAACGAAACGAATTTTTGTTATTCCTTGGTAGCTCGTTGAGTTGAGTTTGGTTGCGAAGCTAATTCAATTTTAGAAGAAGCCACGTGTCAACTAGCGAATGAGGCAAGATCTCATAAGAGATCATAGTTTATATGTTTTTTTAATCGGAATAATGTTGTTTAAAACAAAACAACAATTCTTTCGACTGCGGAAGAAAGGATTTCCCTGGAATTCGTAATTCTGTCAATTTATTACTCATGATAGAAACTAGAGCCATATGTATTGTTGCCAGAAATACAGGTGTCAACCTAGGTACAGATGCAGAATGATAATTAGACATAATGCCCCTACTACTGAATAAAGATCTTATTAAATTAATCCCTGTATATTAAATTTCCCTGGACAATAATACTTTGCTTTACTTATGCACCTTTAAGAAATCGCGCACATACAGAAATAGGATATTTTTAAACACTGTGTCCTTTATAGTTTAATATTATAAAAAAATAGCTATGGCATGGCACAAAAGTCACTATACACTGGTGAATAAAATAACACAATCAAAACCTTCGATCAACAGTATTGCTAATCGAAGTGCAAAACAGTCGGAATTTTGCCGCTAGGAGATCTCCTTCTAACTACGTTATAACTAGTTTAGCACAAAATAAGTACAAACCTTGTACAGTTGTATGATAAGAACGTGACTATTATTTATTCACCAGGCATATATTATATACCCATTATTCAGCAATTACGGATACACAAGCACAGCGCACGAATTAATTACTATCGATAAGAAATCAGTGGCTGGCCGATGTAAGATCAAGTTTCAGCCACCTACACTATAGTTTAGATATGGTGTAACCGTGTAGGTCACTGACCCTTAATCTTATAACCCTGATAGTACAATTTTCGATTATTTTACTACAGCAACAGACGGTATAGTACTAAATGTGACGAAAGTTGAATACAACAAATTTTGTTTTGTTTCTTACAAAAAATATTTAGTTACTGAGTAAAAGTAAGATAAAATTTAAAAAACTAGGCCTGAAATGCCAAAAAAAATATTTATCTACTGTAAAAGGCATGAGCGTACCTACAGTGGGGCAACCACCACCCTCTACCCTGACTTACACCTGTTTTTTTATATAGCGATAAATTGAAAACATTTCATGAGGGACAGGTTCCATCGCCAGACCGAAATTTAGTTTTGGTAGAACATAAATTATGATGACGCAACCATTTTGGTGTAGATAAGCTAAAATTGAGCAAATAAAGGAAATACTTGGTGAAGTAACATGCAATGTTCCCCCCCCCCCCCCCCCCCCCCCTCCATTTGTTGAAGTTTCCGGATCTCTCCTATTTCAGGCGCAGAGTGGCGCACCGTGTGGTTTTAGTCGATACGATTCTGAATACTAAATCTTGTACGTTGAGACTAAGATGATCGTAAAAAGATGGTTATTAAATATAGACTATAATGAAACTGAGAAGTTGATGACATAAAATAAGAAAAAGAATTTCGCATATATCGCACACACACACTCATACACCAATATAGGGCTGTTGCACGCAATATGTCCTAATTCAGGCATTATACTATAGCTGTAAGATTGTCGAACGCTATCTTCTGAGATACAAGTAATAACCTAGTTCAGAAGATAAAGTCACTGTATAGTAACAACCAAAACCACCGAATCAATAATGTACCACCAGATTTGGGCTAAACTTGTATGTCGTATGCAAAACTTTTGCGTCAATTTTAAGAATGCCAATATAAGGTTCATGTATCTTTTATGGAAATAAATTATTATTATTATTGTAGGGCCGATGTCGAGTGAAGAAGACGTCGGCAGCGGTACGAGTCACCAACGGGACCGCGGGCTACCAGAAAGTTTTGACCTCTGGTGCAGATTACTTACAGTGGCTGCACGGATGGCGTAGTGGTTTAAGCGGTCGCCACGCCGCTTCCTACTACGCCGAGTGTTGTGGGTTCAAACCCCACATGGGACGACACTTTGTGTGATCCACAATTTGTTGTTCTGAGTCTGGGTGTTCTTTGTGTCCGTTTCATGTATGTTTGTAAAGTCCCCCGTGACACAGGATATATTCCTAATGCGGGAGTTGTCTTTAAAAAAAAGAAAAAAAAAGAAAAAAAAAAAGAAAAGAAAGTGGTAGGGGATATGTATGTTAGGAAGTATATTTGTATTGTTGAAATAAATCTATGTAAATGGTTTTAATTATCAATTAGATTGAATTGAAGCATTAGCAGTGGATGTGTACTATATTTTTCTTGCGGCAACACTGACATCATGCGCACGCGCCCGCACGAACTGCGCACGAACAAAAGGTGGGACAGGCGTCGTCGAGCGCCGAAATTATTGTTGTAGGCAGTCTTATCGGAAAAGTCGCGGTAGTCAAAGAAGTATTAAAGTAATGTTTACATAAGAGGATAATAGATTATACTTGGTAAGAATAACCGTTATTAAAGTTAGTAATTTAACAAAGTTTACACTAGTAGCGTGTGAATACTAAGCATAACGCAGAGGTTATAAAATATTACCATTGATTTAAGAGTGTTTTACATGTAGGCAGCCTGATTGCACTCAAAAGCAATTGGGCCGCAACATGTAGTGAAAGGCGCGGGGAAGCCTCTATAAAGCAGTGCAAAGCTTATAAACGTTTGCATTTATTTTCATACACTGGTCAATAGATGTCATTATTGTGACCAAATAAAAATATATGACATGCAAGTTCTTACGAGAATGTTTAGTTTTTTTCTATATCTGTTTTGCCGCTCCTTTGTACCCGGCGACACTGAATGGCCCTGTACGGTGCACCGGTGTGGACGGTGGTTCAGAGTAGAACGCGCCTTTGGCGTGTATGTTTGTTTGTAACCGACTCCTTTGGGCGTGATTTTGACTGACTTTAAACGATCAGAATTCGTTCAAACTTTGTAGATATATCGAGGACCGCTTTTTATAGAAAACCAAACAAGAATAGAAAATAAATTTTAATAAACTTGAAAAAAAGCGTGTTGTGCTTTTTACTATTGACAACAGGCACCCAACGATTTTTTTTCTATAGAAAGCGTGTTTTTTAGTTTTTTAAAACTATTTTTTTTTAATTTAAATTATAATATTAAACTGCTATTGGAATATTAAAAAAAAACATATTCACAAATTACGAAGCGTTTATTAACTATTTAAAATACAGATGTTGGAGATTAGCACCAACATAATTATTGTTATTTTTGTTAAAATTTCGAGACAAAAACAAATTTTTGGGTTAAATTTGCCGCCTTAGGCTCCAGCGGCGGATTTAAAAGGAGGCTCAGTAGCAGCCTCCTGGTAAATCCGCCGCTGAGGAATCGGGTAGCTAAATAGTTAAATACGCGCACTGCTACACAGCTTCATACTGATTGTGTCGCATTCACAGACTTTACTTCACTCTATTTTTAGCTCTCTCAATTACTATTTAATTCGAAAACGCCTTATTTTCGTCATCTTCAGTCATAACAGACACTTCCGCTCATCTCTCAATCATCTCCTCTTTGGCATGACTCTTTTTATATCTATTTGTCTCAATTTTTTTAATAAAATTAGAATATCTATCAATAGTGTCACTTTTAAAACTAGCGAAAATTGTATACTAAAAAAATAGCTGCATCATAATATTTTGTAAGATATGTATGACTTAAATGTTACCTATACATCTGGTGTTCATATAAAAGTACATAAACGGTTTAATAATTTATAAACTGATTAATTCGACTTAGATGCTTTAGGGGGTTGTAGTGCCCATTATTACTAATAAAATGAAATACTATAACCTAAACCTAACCATTTTCAAGATATTGGATAAATAAATCTATCATTTTTTCACTAACCAATAATTTATATAATATTACTATGACAAAGGTCAGACATTTTAGTGTAAGTGAAGGCACGATTAGAAGACTGGTAGAAAGAAACCTATAGTCTTTTCATGCAGCTGGTGCCCCAGAACTTCTCCCACAGCACCTTAGAGTTAGACTCGGTTTTGCACGAGACTAGGCGCTGTGAGTGAACTATGGAGCAATGGCAGTGCTTGCAGTTTTGAAATGAAAACGGGATAGCTTTAAGAGATCCAGATAGACGTCAGATTATCTACCGACTTCGTAATAAACGATTCGTTCCTAGCGCAATGATGGAAACAGTGAGTTATCAGAGCAGATGAATAATGATTTGGGGAGGTATCTCTTTTGAGGCCCGAACCGATCCTGTGGTAGCAGTGCTGCGTAGAAGAAGTTCTCCAAAATCACGTCATATCATTTGCTCCATTTATTGGAGACAATTTTCGGCTAATGCAACTTGCATTACCATGTCGCTGGAACCGTTACACAATATCTAAACGAGGTCAGTATTCCAACTTTGCCATGGATAGCGCGTGGTCTTGATGTTAATCCCATTGAACACATTTCGGACAACCTCAAAAGACGTATTCAGGGAAGAGTGACAGTGCCTGCTACCCTAGCTCAAGACCGCTGGGGTAGAGGAGTTGCACATTATCCCCTAGTCACTCATTCAGGACGTCATTAAGCGTCTTCGAAATAGGTTTCAAGAAGTAATTAGAGCTTGCGAGGGTGGAACACAAGGTGTAAAATTTTAAGCAAATCATAAAAATGCCTTTTACCTTTGAGTAAACGAAATTCATTATTCTTTAAATAAAATCCTAATAAATCGTATCTCTTACCACATTTTTATTTACTTTTATATATCAAAGATTGCTTTCACCGTCACATCCATGAAATATGTGTAGAATTTGACGGTTAAGACAAACTAACAAATAATTAATTGTGCCTATGAGTATAGTTCCTTGCGAAAAGATATTTTCTTTTAGGAAGGAGCTTCTAACAAAATAGTTTTACAGTCAAAATCTCTGGGATGAATAATTCGACACGAAGGTTTCGAATCTTTGAACGAACGAACAAAAAAAAAACTGGGTTTAAAGTATTTCGTAGTAGTGTGCGTAGTAGTTATTAAGTTATTAGGTACCTCTGTCCGTGTGGTGACGGATTAAGAATACAGTGTCACCACCCCTATTCATCAAGTGGGTGTCGTAAGAACCGACTAAGAGAGCAAACCACGCACGAGAACAGCACTGAAGAGAGAAGGAAAGCTTTTTACAGTACTTATGGAGCCGATCACAACCTTTATTCTGAATTTAATTGTCCTAGATAGCCAGCAGACGTGACTACGATACGATGCTAAATATTAAATAAAAGCGATGCCACAAACTGACCTACATTGCGAAGTAGATCAGTTTCCAACTGTTGTTTGCGTCGTATAAAAGGATTGGTGTTTGAAGTAAATAGCTAATGGAATTCTGAGATCGTGTAATAAATAAGAACTGTAGTCCATTCGCGTTAAAAAAATGGTGACGCATCGATCAAGCCCGTAGTGATTTCCCGATGTTTCAATCGACGCCTGGTTTATTTAGTTCGAGTATTTACACTCAAATAGTTTGTAAATTGTAAAATCTACGAAACATTTTGTGATGGAAAACGAAAGACAATAGTCATCTAGAAATATCAATACAATCAATGAATATCAATAGTATATGCTATTCACAAAGGATGGGTTGCATATATGGTTGTTATTATGCAATGCAAGAACATGATCTGGTTATTGATTGGTTATGTAAGAATTATGGGTCACATAATTCCTACCAACACCTAATGTTTCATGTGACAGACTAATTTGATGAATGAGGGACATGGCATCAGTATATTAAGTACAGCCTTTCAAGTGTTACATAAGCACAATTTTGGTGTTTCTCTATTCCTCTCACACCCTTGTCAGCAAAAGTAAGCAATCTTATAACCCCCATCCTATGTTTAGGCCATTATTTTGTTTATAGTTCTCAAAAGTCTGTTTATTTCCTAATTGCTTTTCCCATGGTATCTTAAACACATGAGCTGTAGACTAAATATAAGTTAAACCTACAGTTTTTATATAACTTAATGATTATGAGATATTTTTTATTTAAATAATTACTTATGACTTTAATTTATAATAAACAGTTACTTATAAATAAAGCTGCTAATGATATAATTAAGTCTGCATAACTGTTTAAATCCAGCAAATATTTCTTATTATGATAAAGTTTTTTTTTATGTTAGAGGGGCAGACGAGCAGATGGGTCACCTGATGGAAAGTGACCATTGTCGCCCATGAATGTCTGCAACTCAGGAGTCACAAATACATTGCCGGCCTTTTAGGAAGGAGTATTTCTTGAAGGTTTGAAGGTAGTATCGGTCGTTATTTCTCAAGTAAATATCAACAAAATTTTATGAGAATATATGCAGTAATTAATTTAATATTAGCTGTGGTGACAATAAAATAAAGCAGCTGTATATTATCTACAATATATCTTCTGTGAATCGTGTATGACTGGTTAAAGTTCAAATAAATGTTGTCAGTTTTGTGTATAAAACATGTGTGAATACTTATCACATCATATGATTTACATGTGGCTTCAAACACAAATGCTTGACCTATATTGTATGTTACAATTTCATGTTAATAATACACATTTCAATACATTTCAATTAAATAATACACAATGAAGTATGTAATACAGATTTGTTCATAATTTTTATTCCATTACCTAAGACATTGAAATATCGAAACGGTATTTTTGGCAATGATATATGTATAAACTCAATCATACATACCTTCCTCACATGATCCACCAAAGGCCACACAGTGTCAACATGATCCATCAGAGTCATGAAGCCTTGGTACAATCTCTGGCCATTTTCACTGTCGTCCGGTTGGAAGTAGGTTGCGTTGTTTTGGCACGAGTCTTTCAATGCCTCGTACATGGCATACGTTGGTGGAGCACCTTGCTGCGTCTCCTCGCAGCACAATGCAGCCCTCGCTGGAGACTCCATAAAAGCCATTTTCGAGAAACTATCTTTAGCGAAACGAAGTCCGCGTTTAAACAACTTATACCTCATCTGCAAAGATTTTAATATAAACATCTGACGCACTTTATTTGTTATGCATAGAGAAAAAAACAGGCCAATCGAAAATATAATTACAAAATAATTCGCGGGCAAATTTTGTTATCATTGTACTATAATTACGTTGCTATTTCATTCATCGGCCGATATCATCAACACAAAATTTATAGTTGCTAAATTATCGTTCAGCTACGGTCGAGTATTGAATACCGTTTGACATGCGACAAATTATTTACGTCAGGTTTTATTGAATGACATGACAGCTGTTTTGGTTGCGTTTCCTTCTATCAACATGGACGATCGATGTTTTAAATAAAAGCTCAAAAATCTTCTTTTAGAATGAAAAGTAACTTTAAAATATTTCCAAATCCATCTACTATATCAAAATAATTTAAAACTATATATATTTTCTTTTATTTTTTTTCTCGTTTTATAGTCATGAAATGAAATGTTTTATGTGTAATAGGAACGTAAATCTCTGAAGTCTGCAATTGTCATTAGTGTCATTATTCATGTTAGCCTGGTATTGTTGTAAAGGTTTTTATTTTCAAATGCATGTAGAACTATAAAGTTCGAGTTAAATGGAAGATATAACAATGTCCACTGATGACACTATCAGTGAAAGCTGTGAGCAATTTAACGCAAGTGAAACCTTAGCCGATGCATTAGAAGACTCTAAAGCTGAAATAAACACTGAAGAATGTGTATACTCTTATCCCACATTATTTACAAGTAGAACTTTATTAGAACTTTCAAACTCGTCGTGGTCACGTTCAGTAAAAGCTCATGACGATATTCAGCCATATTTGCGAGGTTGCAAATGGTCACCAGATGGCACATGTTGCTTAACAGTGGTAAATAATGATGGGGTACATGTTACTGAACTTCCTAGGGAGCTGTACTCTGGATCCGTAACCCCTGATCGAATGATAGACGTCCTTGATTCAATAATTCACGTTAAAGAGGCTGGTTTAATTTATGATTTTTGTTGGTATCCTGGTATGAATAGTAGCCTACCTGAGACATGCTGGTGAGAATATATATAATATATTCTAGATCTTTAAATTTATATCGTGCTACACCGATTAAATCGTTTGAAGTCTTAGTTGTTGACCTTGTTACTGTTGTTTTGAACTTATTCCTATCTTATCTATTCTTAAATTCATACCACAGATAAATAATCATCACAGGAATATAAATATATGTTACTTAGAATGTAGTATTTAGTTGGAGAGAGTACTATTTTGACTTTTGTATGCTATGGCTGTTCTAGTTGGCTGACAACCAGGCAAAATGCACCAGTTCAAATGTGGGATGCTTTCAATGGTTCATTACGTTGTTCATATAGGGGATTTAATGCTGTGGATGAGATGGAACCAGCCATATCTGTCACATTCTCATATGATTCAAATAGAATAATAGCTGGATATAAAAAGGTGTTGAGAACTTTTGATGTGGAGAGGTAAGTGCATGTTTTTGTCTTCATTGTACGATCATAGAAGAAGATCATTTGATATTTCATATTTTGAATATTTCCTTCTTTATTTCAACTACCTATGCTTATTAATAAATTTATTCAGTTTTTTTAAATATTTAAAAAGTGTGTTGGTTTTGGGTGATGTAGACCTCTAGATGCTCTATAACCAAGTGTGTACATATATCAAGTAGGACTTAATAAGGGTCCATTGTACATTCAAAATGGCTTTATTATTCCATTAAAATTGGTGAGGAGTTTTTTTTTCATTTTAATTCTTCATGCACAAGTATGAGATGTACAATGGTGGACTTCATGCCACAGGCATTTTCTTCCAGTCTACCTTAGGGTGGTTCTGAAATGTGTGGCTAGGTGCACTAGGCATTGATATGTAAAGTAAAAGAAAATTATTGATACTTACGTACCAAATACATAGACCTACATACTTTTCATTTTGTATGATATGAAAAGTTTTTATTTTTTTAATTTTTCTTATATGAGAAACTGTGAACTCCATTTAATTTGTCACATATACTGTTTTATATTACTTGAAATCTTTAAATCTAGGAATTTTAATTGTGTATGACAATATCAATAACTATATAGGTTTCATATGTAGTCTATGCTGATCACTAACTAACAATTTTCTTTAGATTCAGATTTAAATACCATTAAACTATGTTGAGATGACAGGCCTTTAAGTGCAACGATTGCACACTAACAGCTATACCAAAACCCAACACACTATCAACACTATATTTGCAGTGTAATGCTTAAAATAAATTAGTTTATTCAACACAACACTTCATTCACAATAGAAAAAACCATCAAAATGTTCCTCATATGACCGTAACAAATTTATATAATAGCATAGTTAATTTATTTATCTTTTCCTATTTCACAGACCTGGCCGAGAGTTTGCAGAACATAAAATCTCTAGTCCTGCTTCATGTTTTGCCATGAGTGACAATTTATTAGCTGTGGGCTCATGGAATACTACCATTAATTTGTATAGTATAACTGAGATGGGTACTTACAAAAGCATAGGAAAAATGCATGGTCATGCAAGTATGTATTAATTTATTTTTATTTCTATCTGGTATTCATTGTAACAATTTATAGAGTATTATTGTGGTAAATATTGCAATATATGTGTGTGATGCTCACAGCTGATCAATAATAGATAATAAAAAAATAGTCCTTGATTTGCATGAAAAGAAAACATACAACTAAATTTTGGATGATCACACACACCGGCTTCTGATCCCAAATCATGCAGAGGCTATACTATAAAGATACATCAAATGATTGTGCTTATAACACAATGATTTGTCCTGGGTGAGATTCAACCTACAACCTCGACCTGAGAAGTCTAGATCACTAACCACTACGCCAATGGGCCAATATAAAAACTACAAGCCAAAGTTAATTCTATTAATTACGTGAGGCGGTCGAGGGGGGGATGGCGGTCGAGCCGAATCTCGTCTAATCTTACTTTGGGGAGAAGGAGGTCTCTTGGGGTGACACGTAATTTTTTATACACATTATGTAGCAACACATGTTACAATGTGCTTGCAGGGTACTTACTGGTACATTTTAAAAGCAGAGTAAGCACTGCTTAAAAAACTTTATTTTTCTTCTTTCCAGGAGGTGTAACTCACTTGAAATTTGCTCCAGATGGTCTCAGACTAGTATCAGGCGCTCGAAAAGATCACAGGCTTCTAGTATGGGACATCAGATATTACCGTAGACCACTTAACATATTGACCAGGGTTGCTGATACAAACCAAAGAGTCTATTTTGATATATCACCTTGCGGAAAATATTTGGTTTCTGGGGGAACTGACGGTGTTGTTAAAGTTTGGGATATTAATCATGTGGATTGGAAGTCCAGTATAGATGTAACCGATGAAAGGAATGACAATTCTACTTATAAGGTACAATTTTAATAGAATTTTATACAGGAATCTTGTGAAGGAATGTCGATATTAAAAACAACAATCCAATGTTTTTCGCCAGACAATACGATATCGTGAGGTACTTGAGGCGTTGCAGTTTAATAGAAAACGGCAAAGCCGTTTAAAGTTCTGTAATGTTTTTTGTTAATACAAATATCATTCCCGAAAATTCAGTCTCCAAACGTTGCGAGTTGGGTTAAAAGCTAAATTTATTGCTCTTCTATTATTGCACCTTGAAATAATAGTAATGAGAAATGTAGTAACAAAGTTAATACAATGTTCAAGTACTTGTATTAGTATGGCGGTCTTTGAGTGTGGCGAGTAGGGCAACCGCTCGGAGCCTCGCGCACTCGTGCAACAACCCAAGTAGAAAAATATGGTTATTTGGCCTTACGCATCGCATTATAAAACTCTCTTGCTTGCGTCGTGTTTACAATTTACGTTCCGGGATTTCCGGTGCTTCATTTAGCCTGTAATTCTGACAGGCTTTCAGTGTCAACTGTCGCTGGCTTATGCTCGGTTCGAGCAGCAGTACCGTTGCGTTGCATATTTTGTTTCAAGTATCATCATTAAGATTAATTCCATAAAAAGGCAAAGGCCTCAATCTACCCGCCCGGGGCTCGCAATGGCTGTGGCCAGCACTGGTCTATACTAACATAAGTACCTCACTTGAACATTGTTCAGCCTATTAATTCTGTCTGTATTCAGAAAAAAAGCTCTTATTTATTATATACACATACATTTAACATATACATTTTTTTACAGTTTCCACTGCACAAAGATTGTTGTAACAGCGTGTCAATACATCCGTGTCGACCCATCCTTGCAACAGGATCTGGACAGTACCATTTCAAAGATCCCATAAAAAATATGGATATTAAAACTGAAAATGATGGAAATGATGAACAAAGTTCTGATTCAAACAGTGGGGATAGACTGCTTCGAGAATATGATGAAACTATAAACACTGGTGATAAACAGGTGTCTTTTAAAAATGATAGTAAATTAAATAGTGGTATAGATATGAAATATTCAACAATCAGTGAAAATTCTTTAGTATTTTGGTGGGTTGGTGATATAAATTTAACAGACAATTAGAAAGACTGAATCGTGTTATCTATTGTTTTATTAATACCTCCTTGTAAGTTCCTCCCCTGTTTTTTAAGTAGGATGTATACCGTTGGGTATTTTTCAATTCGAAAAATCTGCTGTGACAATGTCCGAGTCCCCATATATATTCACTATTACTCTAACTTACTAATTATATACAAACATAAAACGAAAATTTTGATTTGTGGTCAAAATATTTTCTTTCGTTTTTCTACAGATTTGACTTTAGAAAATTATTATTCGAAAGTTGGTTTATAGTAGGTATTGTATTAAATACCTTAGGGTGTAGTTTTAGCTTAATTTTATTAAAAAAACATTTGGATTTGTTTTCGACGCATAGTAGACTTATTACTCGTTGCTAAAAAGTTTTCTCAAACTAAATGATATTTATGAACCAATCAATACTAAATGATATTTATTTTTGCAAGTAAATCTTCTCGGATATTTTTGCAAGTCGGACTCTATAGCTCGAAGGCGCCGGCATTTCCTAAGACTCACTCTGGGAAGAAACGCCGAAACAAACCACAGAGGTGTCTTTTTTTTCAAGTCCGTGTACAGTGTTAAAGAGAACTATGTGAGTGCAGTATAGGGTCTGGGTTGGCATTTCAAAGAAAGGATCACTGTTTGAGTCTGCCAATCCATACAGATGTCATACGGGCACAGCCCATCGTGTAGCCTAACCGATATAGTCAGGATCAGCAACCTGGAACACGACACTACCGCCAGCACTTCAGTAGGCCGTGGAAACAATGAAAACCACCAGAAAGTTACTAAATATGAACTAACATTACAAGCCTACACTATACGCACATTTATATACTTACACAAAAAATATACTATACAATTCAAATGCAATGAAAAATAAACAAATTTAATATAAACGAAATACGAATTACAACAGAAAATTAAATGTTCGCAAAAGTGAGCAGCATTAATCCCAAGCAAATTTATCATCTAAATAATCTGTACCTGTGTAGTAAGCATTTTCACATAGTTTTTGTTTTATTAAGGACTTAAATTTGTTAATACTTAATTCATGAAATTTGCTTGGATGTTTATTGTAGAATCGCACACTCTGACATCGAAAAGACACTTAGTTTTTGTAGTCGTTGGCATCACCAGTTTATTTCTAGTGTTTTTCTTACTTATTATTTAAAATATATTATTACTTATTTATTACTTTTGTTATTTAAATGAATATTTTTCTTTATTTACAAATTGCGCAAATTCAAAGTATCTTTTTCAACAAAGAGATATTTTGAATGCCAGCAGTATTTCCCCAAAACAAAATAGCATATGACATTACACTGAAAATAGCTAAAATACACTAGTCTAGCTGTTTCTACGTCGGTTAATTGATGGTTATAAACCACGTATGCTGCAGTGCTGAGTCTATTCGACAATCCATCAATGTGTGAGCCCCACTGCAATTTAAGTCGAATTACTTATAAAAACCAGTGGTGTCCACAAGATCCAACTCCTTTTCATTTATTAGAACACTGGTTTTTACCTTCTTACTATTCGGTCTAAAAAATCTAATACATTTAGTTTTTTTCTCGTTTAAAAGTAAGTTAATAATTTTGAGAATTTAATATTTCGAGAATTGTGCCTTGTGGAACCCCCATAGTGACCAGAGAGAGACCCGATTGACCTCTGTCCATTTAAATCATCTCTCTGGATCCTATTACTGACATTGTAAGCGTTGATCACCAAGCGATAAGTGTAAGATGACTATGACCCTAATCCCTTGGTGATCTATTGAACAGTGTGGATTAGAGCATAAACTTACTTTTAAATAAATCCATGGCTCTATAAATCCATGTGTTGATTGCTAGATTTATACAATACCTGTATGTGTGTTATTCATCTGTGGCTTCTAATGAAAACTTTTTATAAATTTATATTTTTTTCACTATTTATTTGGATGCCACTTTTGTATAATTATTGTACTCATATTTACTCCACTATTATATTTATTAATAAGCAATTAGAAATTTTGATAATGACTAAAAAGATAGTGTAACAGAAATGATGAGGCAAAAGTATCAAGGGTGATGTTACGTAGTTGGAGAACCGAGTCGCTAAAACCGAATTGTTTCAATCGTTTTAGAGGAATAGTGCCACTTACTTTTTACGAAGAGTAAGGTTGTCTACGAAATGTTGTTTTTCGGGAAAACTCGATTTGCAGTGGACAGCTTTATTGTAATAGGGTATGTTTGTGGAGATAACAAGTGTCAGTTTTAGTGTTCCTATTGTCAACTCTGCAATTGTTTTAAGTATTCGTAAAAGGAACTGGAAGTAGGTAATTGCTGATCTTTTGGAGTTTTATTACTTTCTAGTGTTGCAATTACTTACCTACGAACCTAATTTTTTTTTTTTTTACGTTCGTCTTTCTTTTAATCTCAGTTTCGATTAAAGCTTGTCTAATATATTCCCAACTGCGTGGTAGCTGTAGGAGTAATCATTCGTATTCATATTGTTTCATATTGTAACTATCTAGCGATCCTTTGAAACAGTTTTTAAGCAATCTACGTTTAAAAACTGTACGTTTACTGCTGTTAAATCGCGAATCTTGTCTTGAAGATCAGTAAAAAGTCAGTAGGACTAAAATTGATTTTATCAGCCGTTGGATTTTGCGAGAGAAGTGTGGGATAAGTGGTAAGACTTGCGAATTACACACTAGGCGTTCAGCTTTCCTGACGCTATCTAAAGCTGTTGAAAGAAACTTGTCTTGGACTTATTAATATCGCTGCGTCAACAAATTGGCGCTAGTCTAGGCCCCTATGAAAAATCAACCTTGAAAAATTGTAATTTGTCTCAGTGCGAAGCAGTAGTTTTTACAGGACCGCAGATTCGTTTTGGGGTGTTAACAGGTGTTTAGGAGCAACTTCGCATCCGCAGTGATACTAGCCTTGCTAGCAACAACCTCATAAAACAAATGATGACACCATGACAACAAACATGACAAATCACAACTGTATTGTGTGGATTCGTATATCACACACCACAATCAGAAAACTAATAACAAAAAAATAAAAAAATAATTGTTCATGTTTTACATGAGATCGGAACGCACTTGGTTTTGCAATTTGTAATATTTGTTCTTAAATAGGAATTAAGGACTAGAGACTACCTACTCTCTAGTCCTTAACGTACTCTCTAGACTTTAACTTGTAAATGGTCAAAAAAGAAACAACGAGACTGTATACAATAATCGAGAGAGTGCTAATCTTGTTAAATTACAAAGTATCATAAGACACTGGCAAAAACAGTGTAGGTCAACCTAAATCACTCTCAAGGAATATCTTAAGAAAAAACATTCAGATTAACCTTTCCCTTAAGTAAGTAAACACTTTTATTCCATTAGCTAAGTAAGCACTAATACTGGCGGATTTTTAATCAGGTAATGAAAACTTAGGCTATTTAGGTACGCCTTATGTAAAGAGATGTACTTTAAGTAAAGAGAAAGAATTTTATTAACACGTGTTTTTAAATGTGGCTTGTTAGCTTAGCGCGCGCTTTTGTAACGGTCATTCCAAATATTCTTCAAAGCGAATTTCTCTTTGTATATATGGGTCATTCCAAATGTGATCCAAAAACGATCCATCTCATGATATGCTATTTTTTTATTTCGAATAAATGATAACGTCATTATTATTGTACACGCCGATGTTATTATTTTTCAATCCCGCACTCTATACATCCTTAAATTTTCACGTGTATAATTTTAATTACTTAGAAGAATTTTAAATATTGCTATTTTAAACTTAAATCATGTCATCGCATGCGAAGCTGCGAAATTGCGGCTAAAAAGAAGTAATAAAATTATTTTTTAGAGCAATGTACTCTTATCATGCGATTAATCATTGATTAATATAAGATTGGCACCCTTGGTCATACATTTTTGTAAAATTCAGAGCTACGTCGACTGCACTACGATTCCGCTGCTGCCGCTTCCACTCGCGCCAACAGTACCTGTACTTTAGGTGTTCACGGTAGCTTATGACTCGCTAGCGCGTTGGCACATTTCACAATGATAAAAAATATAGATGTATTTGCAACGAGTTAGTTTCGTAATTTGGAAAAAATGTTTAGGCATTACGTATAAGGGTTTTCAAAATACAAAAAATGCCCGTTATGTACTATATTTTGGTAAAGAAATTATTTAAAAATGAAATGAATCATGAAAATAATTAGTTTAATTTAATAGTTGTTTAAAAAGTTAATGATAATTTTTTTCTGAACGTTGATTGGATATAAAGACTACATTTTTATTAAATAGTGAGGCTTCGAAACACATCAAACACTAAACACTTTGCAGGATGAGGTAATGTAAAGATAACACACTTGACGAAACGTGTTTCCGACATCTAAAACCTAAGTAATTTGTCTTATGGACGTGTCACGCATGAATTGTTTGGTAAGGTTACCGAGGCAGAAGATTGATTTGTTCGTGGCCATTTATCTCGATATGTTAACTTAAATATTTCAACATAATATTATTGTAGTATAATGCTCATCTGACCTTTTAATAAGGAACTAACAGTGTGTTCTCCAATTAAGGTACTCGTTTGTAGTAGCACTATTACGAGTTTTATTCTCAGAAGACTAGTTAAATGTATATTCCAATTCCATTCTGTAGTTTACTGCCCGTAAGTAAGGTCATCAGATCTTCATGGGACTGGGGTAGTGTATAACAGGCACAAGTTAAAATTGAAATAGTAATCGTATGATGATTACTTATACTGTTATACTTATACGAGTATTAGTATTAGTTATACTGTTATACTTATATCAGTAAGTTTGATTTGTAGATAGTTCACGCACGTGAAATTAAAAGTGATAACTCTAGGGTACACTATTTATTATAAGAGTACGTAATACGTACTCTTAATACCACCAAAACGAAAATCCCTGTAATGAATACAAAAGAGCTGACGATCTTCGAACGCCTGAACATATTTTCTTGAATGATACTAACTAAGAAC